CTCTTAAGAGGCTTGGCAGCAGAGGTGGTTGGTAGGGGGGGGGCGCCTACTACTACTACTACTACTACTACTGCTACTGCTACTGCTACTACTGCTACTACTACTACTACTACTATTACTCCTGTTTCTATTCCTATTCCTGTTCCTGCTGGTGCCTGCCAGCAAATTCACTTGCTGAAAGGTCAAGGGGCCATTCCTTCATAGTGCAAGTCTTTTTGCTCCTGTGATTGACACTCTGATTGTGGGAACATGCGGCATGCAGTGCTAAAGCAGCGATTCAGTAAACGAGCTGTGGCGAACCGTTGTCCAAGTCTATACCCTCAGGGCTGAACCAAGTGCGGGTTGGCATGGAGGGCCTTTTTGTGAAGCGCTGGAGAACCTCTGTAGTGGAGTCCACTGTGCAAGCCGGAACCCCCCAAGCCCAAGCCCCATTCATTTCAGGTGGGAGCACTGGCGGGCACTCAGCTTGCTATCCTTGCATCAGCAGCTGAGAAGGCGGAGGCTCGGTGTCACATTCCAGGGCTTCCGGGCATGAAGTGAGGATCGAGAGTTCAGTTTTGCTTTGGGGAACAGTTCGGCAGCCAGTAGCCGGGTATACCTGAAGCCGGAATACTGTACAAAAGAGACACTTGAATCGTTTGACGCCCAACGTTTCAACCTGGCGGCCTTCTTGTGACTCAGTGTACAGTGATTACGCAGAGAGCTTTCACAGTAAAACAGTTTAGGTTCTCACAGCTGGTTTTTTGCACCATCAAGTCATCAGGATTCAAAGCCAGACGGCCCTGCACCCAAACGCACCAATCGAGCCAGGCTAGCAAGCAGATCAAGGACGACATCCGAAAGGTCACTGCTTCTGTCTTGTTGACAGCCTCCAGGAAGTTCTTCAGCAACTTCGAGTGTTAACAGTGCATATGGGGTTTGTTTTGTTTTGTTTCTTTTGTGTTTTACGGTTCTTGGTGGGGAATTCCAGACAGCTTTGACTTTGAGGGTTTCCGGCCTAGAACTCCGCACAAGGCTCAGGAAATCCCTGCAGCCACACACAGGCTTTGTAGTGTTGCAGCTACGGACACAGAAGTATCAATTTGGCATTCAGGGTTTATGGTGTGGCAGTTCGGGAACCACCTTGTATCTAAGAAAAGAAGCTTACTTGTAACAACCTCTCATGAAATCAGTTTTCGGGTCTGAATTCGTTCCACTGTGAATATGCCTTCCTCTTTCTGACGGGAATACGGAGTGCTTGAGAGCGGAGAAAGGGTTGCAAGATTGCTGGAAGACAAGATTTGATGTTGTTGTCCATTGCACGATTGCAGGCCCATTTCGTCCCAAGAACTACTCCCTCCGACCATAGCTAATCCCTCCGACCATGCAGTACCCTGTGTGAAAGCCTTCGCTGAAGCCATGCCATGCTGGTTGAAGCAGGCCGGTGCAATACCTCCCTTGGTTGACTTCCTGAAGTCCGATCAGAATGACTGGGTTCAGAAATCGGTGCTTCACTCATCGAGCAGCCCCTTCTTTGGAAAAACATGGATCAAGGTTGCAGTACAGCGGGAAGCTGATTCTTGATCATCCATATACAGGTATTCTTGGGAGCTCGTCGTTTTAAGGATTTGGGATGGCGACATGAAACTGTCGTGGGTCTGTGTTGGCCCACTCATGCCATGGAGGTTCCACGAGTTAAAGTTGTGCAAAAGTCATGCGAATCTCCCAAAACCCGAAAAGAGCCAAGCCGGAGGCATGCATCTCGTGATTCGGGGTTTCGCTGCTTGATTTGTGAGCAGCGAGTAACGGTGATAGTATCCAGATATCGTTTGCAAAGCTGCACGTTCGAGGTTTAGGCATCTCGGATCGGTGAATTGCACTGTTCACTGTTTTGGATGCATTTGGTATGGAGTATGGCCTTACGATGATTGGGCTCAATTTATGCTCGAAGCGGTGGGCTGCACATGCATCCAGGGTGAACATTGCGCTCTCTCGGTTGCTGTGTAGGGGTTTCATGCCTGAGTAGCAAAAGCAGGCAGTGGAGTTTACAGTTTAGGGTTTAGGGGACAGTCAGGAGGGCGATCGGCCTGTTCTGCAGGATCGCGTCCAAACTGCCGTGGTCGCATTGAGCTTTCTGACTGCAGCCTGTCTGCATCCTTTCAAAGTCCCGGTCGGTGCTCGTACTGTTCCGTGTTACGTCAAAACGACAACCTTCTCGCCCCCGTTCTCGCCGACGTCTGTGGACAACGGTAAACGTACGACTGACAACAGAAGCTGCCCATCATCGTCGGCACGATGAGCATCATCCTGAGCCTCCTCCTCCTCCTCCTCCTCCCGTTCTCATCGAGTCATTAACTTCCTGCTACCTGTATGTCACAGCTTCTCATCATCTTCATCAGTTGGGTCAGCATCGTCATCATTATCAGCAGCAGCACCGCCAATGCCAACACCTCAGCCTCAGCCTCTGCATCCCACCCCCACCCCCACCACCATCCTTTCCCCTGTCCTTGTACGTCATCATCATTATCACCATCGTCGGAAAGCTCCTCCTGCTCATCATCTTCCTCACTTTAACGCAAGAAGAGCCAGCGAACCCGAGCCCGAGACATGTTCTTTTGTTCAGATGGGGTTTGTTTAGTGATCAGAGACAGTCAGTCCCGACAGCTGCACAGCTTCGCGAGCCGCAAAATGCCAGAACCTGTAGTCCCCAAGCCCTACCACGAGCCCGTACGTCAGATTGAGACGTTCAAGCCCAACTCCCACGCCTTTGAATCCGCAATCCTTGATGGAGAATCTCGCAGACCCCGCTCCTCGCATGAAAGCTCAGGCAGATTGCAAGGAAAACGTAGTCGCGGCCCGTGGCTCAGGTCGTTCAGACGCTCAGAGTTGTCGCAAGAGTCGATTTCCGCCGTTCCTCGTCGTATTTGACACAGTCGTGAGATAGCAGTTGGAATAATTCCAGTGGGAGCAGCTGTAATCGCGCGCCCGTGTGCTGCCACCACTGCCTTCTGCATGTACTACATGGCGAGCACCCCTGGCCAAAAGGACCAAGACTATTACTGCCATACCATGCTGCTTCTGACCGCCTAGCATGGCACTGAATATCCCATAATGCCTCTAGGCCTACGAAGCTGGAGCCCTAGAGTTGATGCTGAAGCTCGTGGATTCCAAGATAGTCCTGGCCTCGGAGCCTTCTTCCGACTTTGGAACGTGCTTTGGGTGCAAGGTTCGAGCTCTCGTAGGATCAGGTTCCCGGAGTAAACATTAACGCGGTTTGGGTTCAGACCTGTGGTATGTGAGGCCTTCGCATGCTGCATGCAGAGAGCCGTTGCGAGGGAAAACTGTAGGAGAAATGCAAGACTCAGGAAGGCACAACGAGAACAATTGCTGTATTTGCACATTTGCAAGGTGCATGTGCATTCTCTCCACAGCAGGTCAAAGCGAAACAAGCGTTGGCAAAGGACATTGCCTCCTGCATTCATCGTCGGACGAAATGGTTGAAGCGCATTGCTGAAAATGCAGCAACTTTCATAACTTCCGAAACCTGAAAACCCGGGTAGACTTGCAGTATCCATGTACAGGCACAGCCTCAGACCCGTCTCGTGAACTTTCAACACCATAACTGACCCATAACTCTGTTTGCAACTGCAGTCTTAAAAGCTTCTTCCAGATTTCCTGCAACGACCTTGCTGTTCCATGGCTCTGCTGGAACCCATGGGAGCTTCAAGCTCCGTGCCGACCGGAAGCAATGCAGAGGTACTAGAGCATCTCAGTTTGGAGAGCCTTTCCTCTAAACAGCGTCCTGGAGGCCGGGGAGAGAGCAGCTGCAGCCACTACTTTGCGCAACATCTGCATGGAAGACGACGTGTGCCGGGCTCAGCGGCATGTCAGTGATTCCGGTGGAACACTGTGATATGCGCTCCCCGCAGCTGGAAACCCTCGCAAGTCATATTATCTACACTGCATCCTCCATTCGTAGAACGTACAGGCTTGCTTCTGACATGCTGTCCGTTGCATGCAACTGAGTCAGCGTGTCTGTGTGTGTGTGTAGATTGACGAAATGGTTGGGCTATGCTCATGAACCGATTTCTGAAGTTCCATGCAGCAGAACTACTGTTTACGACCTTCTTGCGATGCGACCGAACTTCTTTGAGACAAAACCGATTGTAGTTTCAGATCGCTTTGCAGGTGCTGCAAAACATTCTTATCCATTTGTAGCTATGCCTTCCCCAACCCTACCCATTTGACCAGGGTGTAGAGACACGAGTCCGAAAGCTCCTAAATCTCGTACCTGGAGCCAGTCAACCGCAAGCGTTCAACTTTAACTTCCTCCCATCCGAACCTTTAAGCTAGCAGCAGCAGCAGCAGCAGGCGGAGGAGGAGGAGGAATAGTACTCGTCGTCGTTGTCGTTGTCACCATCGTCGCAGTTGCAGAAGTCGCAGTACTTAGTCGTTGTAGTCCTTGTAGTGGTTGTAGTCGTAGTAGTCAGAGTGGTACTGGTCGTAATCGTAGTGGTCGTGGTAGACACGGCTGGCGTGGCAGTCCTGGTGGTGGTGGTAGGCGTCGTAGTCGTAGTAGTCGTAGTAGTCGTAGTAGTCGTAGTAGTCGTAGTAGTAGTAGTAGTAGTAGTAGCAGCAGCAGCAGGAGTAGTAGTAGTAGTAGTAGCCGTAGCAGCAGTAGTAGTAGCAGTCACAGTAGTCGTTGCCGTCTTGGTAGCCTTGGTGGTGGTAGTAGTCTAGCTGTTCGAGTGGTGATGGTGGTGGTGGTGGTTCTGGTGGTTCTGGTGGTGGTTCTGGTTCTGGTTCTGGTGCTGGTGCTGGTGCTGGTGCTGGTGCTGGTGCTGGTGTACATTCTCATTCACCGTAGTTTTGTTGCCTGGATGTTTATGATTTTGTGTTACTGTTTCTTTGTCGCAGTTTCAAGTTCCAGACGATGGATACAAGAGTGTGCTTTGAAGGTACCGGAAGAAGTTTGTCGAGCTTGGCGGCATCCAGGCATAGAAGCGGGAATCGGGATTAGTGGGCTCATAGGCTCCTCCTGCGGCTTGCTGGAGCACGAAATTATATACCTCCGTCATGAGCCAGAGGCCGAGAGTCTGCAGTCGGCTGCATTTGTCGCTGAGCCCTGTCAGCGTAATTGCTCGGCCACCAGCCTCGACAAACCAGCTGCAAAACCCCTCAGTCGGGACAAACATGTAGAAGACCCACTTGGAGTTGCCGCATGCTGTCCCTTCGACTTCCCTTGCGGACTCTTCGTTTGCCGGGATCAAGAGCTGCTCGAAAGCAGAATTATGCTTGTGAGTATACAGAGTTGTGTTCGTGAATATACGATGCGAATGCAAACTCAAATTCCAGATTCCATACTCCAATCGCTGTTTGTTATATCCAATCGTGGCTCGGCTTTGTGCAGCAATCGTTGACAGGCCTTCAAGTTCGAATGCTCCAGGTACACACTTACTACAACCGGAGGTTCAATGACATGTTTCATCCAATACTGGCAATATCGATGCAGTATCAGCAATGCACTTGTACGCATGCTTGTACTTAAGTATGCATGATTATGCACGCATGTGTAGATGTATGTATTTATGTATGTAAGTATGTAATGTAATGTAATGTAATGTAAGGTAAGGTAAGGTAAGGTAAGGTAAGGTAAGGCAATGTATGTAATGTATGTAATGTATGTAATGTATGTAATGTATGTAATGTATGTATTGTATGCAATGTATGTAATGTATGTAACGTATGCAATGTATGTGGTGCATGCAATGTATGTAATGTATGTAATGCATGTAATGCATGTAATGTATGTAATGCATGTAATGTATGTAATGTATGTAATGTATGTAATGTATGTAATGTATGTAATGTATGTAATGTATGTAATGTATGTAATGTAATGCATGTATGTAATGTAATGCATGTATGTATGTATGTATGTATGCATGGCTTATGTATGAAGGTATGTATGTAATGCTTCGCGCTTTTTCCTGCAGAGCAGGCGTTGGTGAACCAGCTGGACACCCCTCCGGACCCAGCTCTGAACCATGCTGACGTCCAGCTAGAGGCACCTTGCTAGAGCTTAGGTTCTGGGCTTCAGCGGTTCTGATTACTCTATACTGCAGAGCTACAGCGCATCCTGTTGAGACTGGAGCGCTTATGTTTTTCCTGTTAATGAGACACTCCTCCGACACCCGCAAGCTTGAGACGGGTCCAGCGACTTACTGTCCAGGGATTGACGTCTGGTTTGGCATTGTTGCCAATTGGAGCTGCTGCTCCGGTGAAGAAGCCAGCTACCGGAATGGCCCAAAATTTGTCTTCGTGTTTCTAAATCTGAATTTGACACCTGAGCAAGGGCTGCACGAAATACAAGCTTGTGGCGAAGCTCTGAGGCCGTGCTCAACCTGCAGGACATGGTCGAAACGGAGGATGGCGAAACCATCACAGAGTCTTTCGATCTTATTAGGTTTTAGGGCTTTTTACTTTCGAAATTTCATTGCCTCAAAGATGCTCGGTCTCGCCGCATTGTTTGTGGAGCATAAAAACCACCAAGCCCTGAATCCTAATTTCGAGGTTCGAGAATTACTCAAGACCCTAAATCCCAAGGTGTTGCTTGTGCCTGCGTTCTAAGGGTCTTGTGGCGCGGTGGTGCAAATATTGGAGAGCTTCAGAGCAATAGTTGTATCGATTGACGAACAGAAGCCCTGGTGCTTCGAGGGCCCGCTAGAATCTCAATCGATGCCCAGAGGTTTGCAGGGAAACCCACTCAATCCAACCCCTTTCAGGGACTGGAACTGAAAACTGGAGCATCCAAACTTCGAGACCTCAGGTATGCGAAACTGGCGATAAAAGCCGGCGCCATCGACAAGCTCCAGGCAAAGCTTTGGCGTAGACTTTCGGAGAGTGGGAGAGAGTGAGAGACAGAGACAGAGAGACAGAGAGAGAGGGACAGGAAGAGACAGAGGGAGAGCTAGAGAGAGACAGAGAAAGAGAGAGAGAGAGAGGGAGAGGAGACCGCGACAGCGAGAGCGACAGCGAGAGCCAGGGCCAGAGCGCGAGCGAGAGCAAGAAAAAGAAACAGTCCTGCGTGTCACTCTTTCTTCGAGCCCTCCAGCACGAATACGCGTGGGAGCGGGGACATTGGCTGTGCTGAAGAAGAGAAACAGAGAGAGAGAGAGAGAGAGAGAGAGAGAGAGACCGACAGAGAGAGAGAGAGGGAGAGAGAGACCGACAGAGAGAGAGAGAGAGAGATTGCCGTCCGGAACCCAAACCGTCTTGGACTTCGGGGCGTTGATGCAAAGCCCGGGTGCTGTCGCCGCACTCCAGCGCCCTGACCTCAAAACCCCAGCCGGAAAGGGTTTTAGCACCAAGCCCAAGAGTCCGGGAAGCCGAAGCAACTGCTTGGACACTCCGCGAAGTTCCGGTTGGCATGACGCATGGGATCGCCAGATCTCGGGTGGCTTGTGCAAGTCAAGGGCAGGACAATACAGCGTGTGTTTCCATCCAATCATGTCCAACCTAAGCAAAACGACACAGCTTTTGGACGGCTTCGGTGTCGTGCAAGCTTGTGATTCAAGGGTCTGACACGTGAAGTTGCAGCAGGAAGGCTCCAGGGTCTTGAAAGGCAGAAGCATTCTGAGACAGGCCCTCACGAAAGCTGACGATGAAGAGGTGCGGACTTCTGCGCTGGAGGCCAGCACTCTGAACTAGGACGCACGTGTCCGATCGGATTCTGCTCGGATCATTGCCCCGGTGCAGTCGGATTGGCTTGCAAGTGCTCTGCTGTCTTTCCAAAGGGCTTAATTACCGTGTTCAGAACCGAGCTCTCTCGTCCGAGAGCTTCATCCTGTTGGATTTCGTGGAAAATTAAACCGCAGAAACTCAATCCTATGAGGCAGACCTGACGTGCATTCCCTGGAGCTCAAGAGGGCAAGCTTAGAGCTGGGGGAATTGCAATCGGCCCCCTAACTCTCCCGACTGACAGCGCAGCACCCCAACTCCACCAAAATCAAACCTTGAATTCAAGCGTACCCAAATTTGAAACCCTCAGCGCAAGGTGTACGAAGCACTGCAAGCTCATCAGTGAGACTTCTTTCTATGGAGTCAGAAAAGAATCCACCCCCCATTGAGCAGGAGTTATCATTATATCCTTGTAGTAGGAATATCTAGGTGTTAGGGGTTCGATCATTATATCCTGATCAAATTCACCTAATTCTAATGTCACCCTTGGAATCGCATGCCAGCTACGTTCTATTTCTCTCCTTTGTGCTAGTTTAATTCGGTTATAATCGAACAAAGAGAAGAGAAGTTTGAACGTTGCGAAAGCATGCGATGAACAAGGAGAAATGACACGAACGAAGCACGAAATTCACGCTTTATTTCTTCGTTCTTCAGTCATTCCAATATAATTTCGTTCTTTGATCGTTCTATTTCGTTACATTGAAATAAAGGAAAAGTATGAACGAAACAAGGAGAAAAACCCAAGTTTTAACAGAATAAATACGCGCTTTATTTATTTACACTTGTTTCATTTACTATAAATTAGATGTTTTTGCTCTTTTATTTCGTTACTCTTATTATTTGTCTTATTTCCTGAATCTACTATTAATTGTTATTATATTCCTATTGCCCTACAACTATATTCTAATGGTATAAATGACTTGGACTTATTATATTATATCTTATGGTATTTTATTATAGGTTAAATATTTGTAACATTATATTTAGCTTCTAATTATAATATTTCTAATGTAATCTCTCTTTACAGAATAATATATTAAAGGTCTATCTTTATTCCATTATATTTTCAAGATAAGAACTAACGAAGAAGAAGATGATATATATATATATATTATATATATATATATGTATTTATTTATTGAATTGTTTATTTTATTTATTTAATTAATTAATTTGAATCGATATGCCTTTCTAAAATGTTTATTATTATTGTTAAATTGAAAGGATAAAGATTTTTGACTACGGAACTGCTCTTCCCCCACCAAACATTTCAAGCTTCAATTAGTTTGTCGGATAAAACGGGGCTTAAGCCCTAGTCCTACTCCAGTGCCTTTGTTTGCGTGGGTGGGCCGACGATTGCCCTATGAGGGCCCTGCTCTGAAGCCTTCTGTTCGCGGCGCGGCGCCCCGCCCCACTCTCTGGTGGCACAGGGTCTAGGTTCGGGATTCGAGCTAGGGGGTTTCGGTTTGGGTTCAAGGGCTGAGGAGTTGCTCGCAGAACTATGCACTTTGGGCTTGTTTTGTGGAGTGCTTGGAGGTGGAGTGGGCTTTGAGGGTTTGTTCGGACGAGCAGTTGGCGGAATTGGGGCGATAATGGTGTCGATTTTCCGGCTCTCTAGGATGGTAGGAGTCGAGAGCTGGGTATGTCGGATTCAGAGTTAAAGCAAGAGAACAACGACCTTTCAACCAGAATCTTGCTGCGTCGGGCTATAAATCAGGACCCGACCCGACATCCCCACATTATTCCATATACGTATAGTCGTATAGCGTGCAAATACGAAGCTTGTAATGATTCTCGGCTGGCGGGGGACTTTGGTGCCAACTTGCCTTTCCAAGTTGATTAAGGCTTCGGGCCGTGGAGGGTTGAGTTTCAGGAAATTGAAGACGGAATTGGGGTTTCCTGTCCGAAAGAAGGTCTCGAGAATGGGTAAATAGCCTGCTGATCACGGGCGGTGACTTAACCCGAAATTGGTCGGGCGGAGCGCCAGCAAGCTAATACACCATTCCGCCTGCCTGGCCAGAGCTGGAGCTTGCTGCGAAATTTTTTGGGGGACGAGTTTCATGAACCGTAAACGTAAAGATTCTTTATGAGTTCCAAGCGCTCAGCCTTTGAACCTTGTGCCGGGTTTTCGAGGCTAGGATTTCGGAATGGAGCACTCACTGGCTGACGTGAACCATTCGGGGTTGAGGGCGTCCTTTGCGAAAAACTCGTGGTAGACTGAATCATGTGCAAGCCCAAAAGAAGGACTCAAAAACACACACAGCAGAAACACCACGAACAGGAGCTTGGAATGACAACACGAGCAAGACTAGCAAGGCTGCTTCTGTTGCTGTTGCTGCCGGCTATTGTTGCTGCTGCTGCTGCACACCTGTTGCACACCTGCTGCTGACGATGCTGATGTCGACGACGACAGTGTCGACCGCGAATGAACTGCGATTATTGCTATTCCTATTACCCTCTACCAGTATTATTAAATTATATTGCACCTACCACTTACAAAGCTCGATCACAGGTCCCCGGAATCAGCACAACCGGTCTTGAGTGGATTTAACTGGCTAAACTTCGTAAGGCTGGAAAGTCAAGGGTGCGTAGTAGTCGGCTTGGGTCTAGGATTCGCTAGCTTGGAGCATGCAAGTTTAGGGCAGACCCCAAACGAATCACAGCCGAGCTCCTGTTTCGGCTGCTGGCGCCCATGGAGAAGGATCTTCCGAAGGAAATTGGCTTAGAGTTTCAGGGCTCGTTGCTGTTGAATTCGTGGCCTTTGACCTTCCCATGTGCTGGCGGTGCAGGAAGCTCCAATCGGTATCGATCATCGGCCGGTTGTGTAAGCCAAACAAATGCCTTGGCCTTGCTTTAACAACGATCCCGATTACTTTCCGGTCCAACTGAGCTGCCGGCCGCAAAACAGTGGCCAATGCACGTTGGGACATGGGGTTCGAGTCAGGTTCTTGCGAGACGCCGTTGAGAGGTTCAATGTCTGTCGTGAATGCCTCGGCACTGGATGGCTAATCCGAAGTGTGCTTTCGAGTTGACGAAGCAAGGACCTTTGAGACGAGGGCGTTGCCGGTCAAGCTGTCGCATGTTTGGTGCACGTTTTGTTGTCGTGAATATATCGACCTCGCGGGTGTAAAGATGATGAGTGGTTACGATGAAGATAAAGATATTGATATTGATGGAGCTGATGTTTGCGAAGATGAGAATGATAATTTTGATACTGATCATGGGTGCTTATTTTTGGTAGCCAATTTTCTTGCATTAAATATATTATGGCAGGATATAGAAAAACAGAAAGTTGAAAAACAATATAAATAGAAGAATAAACTAGCATAATATGTAATTGATAAATAGATAAAGAGAAATTATGTTGAAAATAAGATAATATGTAAAATTTGAGAATATTTATTGAAAAATAATTTAATATTGAGAGAATTAAACGTATATTTATTCTTTTTATCTCTTTTATTAATTTGATCTTTTGTTCTTATTTTTCTTATAATAAGAGAAGAGCATAGAGGTGAGATTTTATAAAAATAAAAATAAGATATAGATTAATATAAATATGTATTTTGTGTTTATTTTAATTTATAATAATTTCGGTTTATTTCTAATTAATTTTTAATATTTATAGAGAGTTCGGATTTCTTTTATTTACATGA